GAAAGAGTGGGGGAAGGTTTCTCTTGGCTGTGCTGCAGGTCCATGTTCTCAGGCCAGGCCGTGTTAGCAAACTGGAGCTCTTTCAGTGTGCTTTGCCAAGCTCTCCTGATGTTCCTGCATGCCTTACATGGTTTTCAGAGCTCTGGGCCTTCTGCGTATGACTTGGGAGTGGAGAGGAGCTGCCCTCCAAGTGCAGGATGCACAGGAAAGGGCTCTTTTCAGGAAGGCTGTATATCAGAATACAGCGTGTTCAAGGATGCCTGAGAATTAGAATCCCACAATCCCAGCCTGGTTTGGGTTGAAGGGACCTTAAAGCTCCTCCAGCTCCAACCCCTGCCACGGGCAGCGACACCTTCCACTGGAGCAGGTTGCTCCAAGCCCCTGTGTCCAGCCTGGCCTTGAACACTGCCAGGGATGGGGCAGCCACAGCTTCTCTGGGCACCCTGTGCCAGCCCCTCAGCACCCTCACAGGGAAGAGCTTCTGCCTCAGAGCTCATCTCAGTCTCCCCTCTGGCAGGTTCAAGCCATTCCCCTTGTCCTGTCCCTGCAGGCCCTTGGCAAAAGTCCCAAGAAAAGGGGGGCTGAGCAGTCAACAGTCTAGATGAGCTGTGCAGTGTATACCGGGTGTTGGGTGTTCACTGATGAGTGGGTTTGCCAGCAGCTGGAATACAAATGGGTCCCTACGTTCACAGATAGGAGGCTCACATGTTGTAGGAAACAACACTGCTGTTGGTCCTCGCTTAAGGGTTCCCAGAGGATATGAGTTTTGGTGGGAGAGCAGGGCAGGTGAATGGGCTCTGAAGAGCCCTTGCTGAGGTCTCTGATCCCTCCCTCCCTGCTGTCTGCCCCCAGAGGTGGTCCAGAAGGTGAACGGGCTGATCGCGGCCGGGCGCTACGGGCGCCTCTTCGCCGTGGTGCACTTTGCCAGCAAGCAGTGGAAAGTGACCACCGAGGACCTGATCATGATGGACAACGTGCTGGAGGCGGAGTGTGGAGACCGGATCCGCATGGAAAAGGTGATGTGCTGTGGTCCCACAGTGCCTGTGGTGCCATGCCATGAGGCAAAACCCAGGGCCAGGTCTTAAAACCCCTCCTAAAGAGCTCCTGTTGGGTCTCTCCTTGCTCCAGCCAATTGCTTTGCCTCGGTTTTGCTCCAGTTCCTCTGTGAGTGAGGCTATTGCTGTGATCTCTGCGGAGCAGGGCTGGAATGAGTCCTGCCAGACTCTCTTAGGAAACAGATTTTTGATGCACTGACTTCATCCAAAAAAAGGAGATGACAGTTGTTGTTTCTAGAGAGGCAACTGAAGCCTGTGTTTACCCCGAGGCTCCCAGCACCCAAAATACTGCAGAGCTCCCAGAGGGACCGGCCCTGCTCCCTGCTGAGAAAGATCCTTATCACCCTGAGTGTGCTGGGTGGAGGGAGAGGGATGGTGCCCCGAGAGGAGAGCTGCCAAGATGCAATTCAATGTCTTCAACCTTGGTTAACTAGTAGGAACTTGTGAGGCTCATTAATTCCAATCTTAACTGAAAGATTATGAAGTTGGCTTCATCTTAAATGTTGATTGTTATGATGGTTCAAGCCAAGCAGAGCTGGGCACTGTCTCTACTCATGTACTGCTCTGAGGTCCAGTTTTGGGGCAGATGTCTGGGCTCTGTCCTGCATCCTTTTATGCAATAGAGAGGTGTGATCTGCATGGAGCAGCCAGCTAGGAACACATGAGAGTGAAGGGGAAAAACCTGCCCTACCAGCATAACCCTTTGGGGATTTCACTGGCATGGATCTGTCTAAACCAGAAGTCAGAATGTTTCATAACCATTTCTGTGTTGCTTGTAGCTGCTGCCACCAGTTAGGGTGGGGAAGGAGCCAGCCTGGAAGAAGTGCTGCCTCTTCTCACTGTATCCTCTGTTATCCTGCGTGGTCCTTTAGAGGGGCAGATGATTGAAATGCCCTGATACAAAAGCCCTGGAGTGGTGAATCCCCCCAGATGGTCGTTTCTTTATTGACCATCTTGAGGCCTCATGGAGGAACATGAGGTAAATGTTTCTCTACTGGGTTTACGTAGCAATTGCTTTAAAACTCCAGTGATTTTAGGAGCTGCCGTTCATTCAGATCCCACACAAGGCATATTATTCTTCTTTCCTTTTTGTATCTTTTACAACTGGTGGTGAGCCAGAACAGGAAGGTTCAGTGTGTTCTGATCAACATGCAAGATACTTCAGCACACTTTGGTAGGATGAGCTCTCTGGAAGGCTGTTTAATGAGTGTGTCTTGCCTCTTAGCTGCCTTTCCACATCCCAAGTGACAGGTTGAAATGTGCAAAGCCCTCATTTGAAGCAGTTTGACTCCTTTATGGTGCCTGGAGGACTGGAAGGTGCTGTTTGCATGTCTGCTGGGTCCATGAGCAGTGATATATGCCTGGTTTGTTTTCCACAGGTTCTGCTGGTCGGTGCTGACGACTTCACGCTTATTGGGAGGCCGCTTCTGGGGTAAGATGTCTCATCTGAGCATTATCTGCAAGACAATTCTTACACTTAATTGTAGCTTCAGGGCTCCTACAGTTCCTGAAGCTGAAGAGAGACCTGGATTTATCAGCACAAGGTTTTTCCCAGCCCTGTGCCCTTTGAAAGAACACCAGTAAACCATTGCCGCGGTGCCAGGGTAGAGCAGCAGTGCCCATTGCTAAGAGCTGTAGGGTATTCACCTCTGTTGGGTTGGATCTTTCCCTCGTGGTGTAACCCTTGCACAAACTGGCAGTAAATCTTGCTCCTCAATAGCTTTACTCACTCACTCTAATTTTGGTGATAGTCATCTTGGAATAACCCAGAAATCCTTTCCCAACCCTTAATCCCTTAATTTGACTTGGGTTTTTCAACCCATTTCCTTTTGCCCTTGTCTTAACCCAGCAGGCCTTAATCTTCACTTCAGAGTTGTCCCAGTCACATAGTCCAGCAGAAGTGGGGAGGAGGAGTTGACCCCTTGGCACCATCTCCATCCCAGTGCTGTAGGACTTGCTCTACAAGCTGCAGAACACTTGGTTCTTCAGCCTTGTCTTTACCTAAAGGAAGTGGTGTGTGGACTCGGTGTTACTGCTCACCTCTTGGCACTACCCAGAACCAAAGTCATGAGCTGTTTTCCCCAGGACAAGAGGTTTTAGTGATAAAACACAAGATAAGGTGGGTTGCAGGTGCTCAGAGTATCTGGAAGCCCTGGCTGTGGTCTGGTTGCAGCCTGAACCACATGTTTAGGATTCAACTTGAACTGCAGCAGCTTTGGCAAAGGATGGTCAGATGAAGAGGGGCTTGTATATCTTGGTGGTTTCAGGTCAGATAAGGAGGAACTTGTACATCTGAATTATTTCTTGGTGGCTTGTAGCTTCAGGTTGGAAATGCCATGGGCTTTCAGACTGGTTTCACTTCTGAGTGCTCTGTGTGGTACTTAAGGGTCACTTGTGACTTGTTTCTACAGTCAGTAACAGGACTTCAGTTGTGCTGGTGGTTCCTGCTGTGGTTCCCTGTGTTGGGCAGGATTTTGAGGTCTGCCAGTCCTTTTAGCAGTACTGCAAATAGATCTGGGATAGCAGATCATCAGGAGTCTCTGAATTACTGCCAGATCCTGCACTTATGGAAGATTTGAGGAAGGGGAATCTCATTATTAGGACTGGAAATGCCATTGTGCAGAAATGCAAGGAAGAGCCCAAGCTCTCAGGCAGGGCTGTGCCACAGCAGGTGGTTCAGGAGCACCATCCCTCACCCAGCTCCCTTAACCAGTGGCTTTGGGGTGATTCCTCACAGCTCTCCATCTCTGTGCTGGCCTTGGCATGTGGCCTGAGGCCTGGGAGCTGTGGGGCAGGAGGAAAACCAGCTGCCTGGCTCCTGCGGGTGCTCTGCGTGGAACGTGCTGTCAGTTCCTTGGTGCAGACCAACTGCCCATCTACCAGTGTTAGCTGGAGTTCCAATACCTTTGGCAGAGGAAGATCAGCAGGAGGAGGAGGAGGAGGCTGCTGGGGAGGTGCCATCCTCCCCCTGAGCTCCCTGGTACAGGCTGAGGAGGGGCCAGCAGGACCCAGCAGGACACAGCAGTGTGGGCTGCAGTTCTTTCACCCAGTCCCGACTTGTGCCTAAACCACGGACATTCTGGAGGGGAGATGAGAGGTTGGATGTGAACAGAGGGGGTTGCTTTTCTGTTAGTTTAAAGCTAACCCCATCAGTGGCTGCTTGCACCAGTGGCTGCGTGAGACACATCCCAGCTGCGCGCCCTGCTCAGCCTCACAGGCAGGCAGGAGCTTGTCCTGCTTTGGACACATGGTCGGGGATTAATTTGCTGTAGCAGTCGGATGCCTCCCAAGATGACACTTCTCCGAAGCTTTAAAAACCCCAACAGTGCAGCAAAGCACATCTGCGAGGCAAAGGCTGTTCTGGGAAGCTCGGGCTGGCTCCTGCTTTGGAATCTGCTGGGGTTTGTGTCTGTGCAAGGGACTCGCTGCCTGGACCATGGGCACGAGGGTGCACTTGTACTTTGTGGAGCTGTGTAACTTAACTGTGCGCTTCTAAAGCTGTGATGAGAGGTAAGCACAGCCTCGGGCAGGTTGGCATTTGGGGCCATTGAGTGCTCTCAACTAGGCCTGAGAGAAAATGGTGCCTTTATGAGACAGGGCTTGGAGCAACCTGCTCTAGTGGGAGGTGTCCCTGCCTGTGGCAGGGGTTGGAACTGGAGGAGCTTTAAGCTCCCTTCAACCAAAACCACTCTGTGATTTAGCTTATTTCTAAACCAAGTGCAGCTGATGGAGGGTTTTCCTCTGGGTGAGCCTTGCTCTTTCTCCTGCTGCCTGCCCGTGTTCGCAGCGGCTTCAGTGGAAATGCCAAGGGGCCCTGGACCTTTTCCTTTTCCAGTTGCTTTCTGCAGGGAGTGAGTTGTCAGTTGAAATTATTACCCTTTGGGGCTGTAGGTTGCCCAGATCCTGGATCTTTTTCACTGCTTAATGACAGCAGCTTTCAGCCAACTTAGATCTATGAGGTTTCAGTGTGAATGTTTTGTGCCTCCTGCTAAAACCTGGTGGATGTGCTTTGTCATGGAACGTTCTGCTGCTGAAGGCACAGGCCTGACTCTGTCAGGCTCTGGGAAATGTGTGACCCCCCCTTTGTTTTTATGGGCATTCCAGTCATACCAAACCCATTTGATAAAGATTTGCTTGTTCCTTGGGCTCTGTTTTGCTGAGAACTTTTCTGTTTGGATGCGCTTCACCATCAAGTTGGTTCCTGCTGTGCTTCAGCCCCTCAACCAGGAGGTCCTGGGCTTTGTCCAACAGGGAAGGACTCACCAGGCCCCTTGGCCTTGACCTTTGACTTGCAGAGTGAAGCCACGCTTGGATACTCAGCTGCATCAATGATACCCTTAAAGCACGTCAACATCGACATGGGGGAACCCTTGTCTACAGGTGCGTGTCAGTGTCCCTCCCTTTGGTGGACACCCTGGCACAGCTCCGTGTCAGGGACAGCATGGCCGTGCTGCTGCACAGCCTGGCTCTTCTGAGAGCAGCCCGGAGACCTCGGCACTTCTGGCCTGGCCACTCCCCAGTTTTCCCATGTGATCCATTAGGAAGTTTCTGACGTGCCTTGACAGCCCGAGCCTGGGAGTGCAGCTTCCCCTTCGCCTTCAGTGGGCAGGAATCAGACCCAGGAGGAATTAGACCCAGAAGGTGTCCCTGCCCGTGGCAGGGGGTTGGAATTAGACTATCGTTTAAAGTCCCTCCCGGCCCAGCCCAGTCTGTGGTTCAGTGGCAGTGGAGCTCCCTCATTCCAGGGGGAAGCAGGGCCAGCCCTGGGCTGCAGCTCAGTCTCTGCTTTGTCCTCACATACACACAGCGTGTCTCTCAGTGCTGGATGTGGATAGTGGCCTGTCAGGGTCACCCAGTCATTATCTTCTGTCAGTTTCTTCTGGGCTGCTCACTGAACACGGGTGTATCAGTTTGTCCTCTGGCTGTCATTCCCTGCTCCCGCAAGGATTCCAGCTGAAATACAGCACAGCCAGAGGGCAAAGTTAAGAGAGCTGGTGAATGTCTGGGTGCCTCTGGCCTCCTGGTGACCCTGCTGGAGCACTTGGGCCGGACGGGCTGTCCCCTCTGCCGCTTACGTGCAGGCAGAGTGCTTGTCAGGGAGATGTTCTTTCAGTGTCTTCTCTCATACTAATTAGTTCCTAATGGTGTTCTGCAGTGATGCTGCATGAAAGTGTCTCTTCCTCCTCCCTTGGGGCCCTTGGTTAAAACCAGCTTGCCAAAGCTTTTGTCTGGAGGCTCTTCCCTTCCCAGCGAGGAGCTCTGTGCAGACAGGTAGGGGTCCTCCAGCCCACCTCAGTTTCCAGCTCTGGTGTTCCTCAGGGAGCAGCTGTAAATCCCAGCTCACTTCTTCATCCTCCCCTGGGAGCTCTGCAGGCCCCCTGTGTATGTGCCCATAAGAGGATGATCAGGGACGAGTTACTCTGTGATCTTACCTGTGAAGGCAGTACAAGCTGTTTTCTCCTCTCCATCCTGGGGGAGGGAGGATGTTTACTTGTTGAGAGTTTCCATGTGTAGAATGACATCTAGAAACGATGTGAGTGATGGAGCTGTCTCAGCACTCAGCCTGAGCTCCCCCAGGAGCCAGTCCCTGTCTCCTGCTCTGGTTTGGGTAAACAAGCAGGGCAGAGCAGGAGTGGGAGGCAGGTGGGAGGAGAGGGACTTGCTGCAGCAGGCAGGGAGCTGTGCCTCTGCTGGAAGCAGTGCCTGGATCTCTCCCCCTAAGCCTTTGCCAGGACTCAGGTGAGCAATGAGAGAAGACTCTTCCAGCTGTGTGTGATGTTTTGTGGAAGGAGGAAGGAGTTCTGTGCTGACCAGCACAGGGGAAGGTGCCCCGGGTGGCTTTAACCTGCACCACAGGCAGAGCTGGGGACACAAGCTCATGTGAAGGTGCCAGGGGCATTTATCTTACTGAAATACAACAAGTTCCTGCAGGTTCATCTTCCTGCTGCCTCCGTGGCTGCTTCTGATCTTACCCTGCCCTGGCAGAGGCACTGCCCTGCAGCCTGTCACACTGCTTGGCTGATCCACCCACAGCACCCGGAGGTGTTTGGGGTTGCACCCTGAAGCCAACAACCTGCCAGGTTTCGCTTTGTAGCTCCCGTGGATGGGGGCTCTGTGACACAGGATGTCTTGTGTGTGTCTCATCCCCAGGAACCTGCTCACGGATGGGAGGAGGGTGTAAATCATTACAAGTGATACTTGAAATCTGTTTCTCAGGAAGGAGCTGGTGCGTGTGGAGGCCACAGTGATCGAGAAGACAGAGTCATGGCCGAAAATCAACATGCGCTTTCGGAGGAGGCGCAACTACCAAAGGACACAAAGTAAGAGCGTGGAGCACAGAGCTTGCTTCCCTGCTGATTTGTGCCTGGATTTGGGAGGGGGGAATATCCTGACCTGGGGGTGATGTCTGGGGAAGGGAACTTGTTCACCTTCCACTAGAGCAGGTTGCTCCAAGCCCCTGTGTCCAACCTGGCCTTGAACACTGCCAGGGATGGGGCAGCCACAGCTTCTCTGGGCACCCTGTGCCAGCGCCTCAGCACCCTCCCAGGGAAGAGCTTCTGCCTCAGAGCTCATCTCAATCTCCCCTCTGGCAGGTTCAAGCCATTCCCTTTGTCCTGTCCCTCCATTCCTTGTCCAAAGCCCCTCTCCAGGTTTCCTGGAGCCCCTTTAGGCCCTGGAGCTGCTCTAAGGTGTCCCCTTGAGGAGCCTTCTCTTCTCCAGCTGCCCCAGCCCAGCTCTCTCAGCCTGGCTCCAGAGCAGAGCTGCTCCAGCCCTCGCAGCAGCTCCGGGGCCTCCTCTGGGCTCCCTCAGCAGCTCCGTTTTGGACATGATTGTCCCTTCTCAGATATGACTGAGAGGGAAAAGTTATGACCGTTCTTTATGAAACAGATGCTGAACCCTTGGCCAGCCTGACACAGTCCCACCTTCTGAAGGGTGTGCAGTGGGTTTGTGCTGTCACCTCTTCTCTTTCTCTTTCTTTTCCAGTCATTGTGAACCCACAGACCGTCCTCCGCATCAACACCATCGAAATCTTCCCCTGCTTGTCGTGACTGACTGATGGCTGATGTGGGGTTTAGCTCTGTTACTGCTTTGGGTATATATGGAAATAAAACTGCCTTGTCACTGGGAAGCTCTGGACTTGTAGCTGTTGTCAGAGATGGAATTCTCTGTGTGCTTTTTAAACCAACAATGAAACACTTTTTAAACTACTATTTCAGCCTTGATGGTGATTGTTTGCCGGGAGTTCTAAGCAAGGTAAGATCATAGAATCACAGACTGGTTTGTGTTGGAAAGGACCTTAAGATCATCCAGTTCCAACCCTTTGAATGGGCAGTAATGCCTCACACAGACATGTCACCCTAGGCTCTTTCCAGCCTGGCCTTGTACACTGCCAGGGATGGATCCATTGCTGCTGTCAAGCTGCTCCATGTCACCTGGCTCTGCCTGTGCCTGCCCACCTCTGGGTCCTTAAGGAGTCCAGGCTCTCAGGTGGGTTTTAAACACCCCTTGGGCTCTCTGGTTGTGGAGGAGAAGGGCCATGAGCCTCTCTGGTCCTGGAGGTGAGGCTCTGAGCCTGCAGGACAGACTCTACCTGTACAGTTACTCCATTCCAAGAGCCCATTGCTGTGCTCACAGGGAGTGTGGGTGCACTTCAGGCTGGCGACAGGTTTGGGTGAGCACATCTGCCCTCTGGAAACCCTCACTGCTCTCCACACACTGCACTTGCATCAGTGTGCAGGGGTCTTTGAGTGCCAAGTGTCATTTGGATTCTGCCCCCTGCCCCTTTCCTCTCCTGACAAAAGCCCTGCTGCTCTTATCCCTGGTGGTGTGTGGCTTCAGGCATGTCCCGGAGGAGTGTGGCCCACAGCCAACAGGGACTGGAGGGAGCAGTGGAGCCAGATGACTGCAGGACCCCAAATCCACTCCCAGGTCATGTGAATTGGTGCAAATCCTTCTTGAAGATCAGCAGCAGGCGATGGAGGTGAGGAATTATCCTCTCAGAGGTGAGCTGGAGAGTGTTGTGGAGCAATACACTGTGTGTGGGTGATACCATCAAAACAAAGTTGGGGGGCTCAGGAGGCATTTCAGGCTTACTTCACACCCTGGGTGCTTGACCTGCTGAGTGCATTTTCACATCCAGATCTCAGCAGTTTCTCTGCTCTGCCTGCAGCCTGAGCACTGACACTGAGCAGCACCTGCAAGGCCACACTCAGCCAGGTCCATGAGTGTGTCTGGACTGGAATAACAGCCAGGGAGAGCTTCCCAGTAACCACCAGGAAGCTTCCCAGAGCTTTCCCCAGATTATCAGCATCCCTACAGCCATCATGAGGAGTGTGGTAAGTGGTTCCTGCTCCCCTTGGCACTTCCCTAGGGAATACCCGGCTTCAAATGAGTCCGGAGGAACGTCCCATATGGGTGTCCTTGTGCGCCCGCTGTGACTCCACAGGCCCACAGCCTGTGCTGGAGGATGTGCTGGTTTGGAACGTAACTATCTCTGGGTCTTGTCCTGTCTTCCAAAGCTCACACATCCATATAAACCTGCAGGAGATCACTTGAGGTGCCGTGAACACCAGGCGTGGAAGCTGAGGCTGCATTTCCTCTTGCCTGGCTTCAGCCGGAGGGAGATCCGGGCGTGCTTGGGTTAAGGAAGTTCTGCAGTCGCTGGGTCATCTGCAGAGCCTGACTCATCCCTTCCTCTTCAGGATGCTGGGCAGGAGCAGCCCTTGGGAGATGCTGTTCCTTCTGTACTGGCTGTGACTGGGGTTGGACACCCAGATTTTCAGCAGCTCATGGTAACATGAAGGCAGGGCCTGATGATCTGGACAAGGGGATCGGGTGCATCCTCAGTCAGGTCACAGGTGACACCAGGCTGGGTGGGAGTGTGGATCTGCTGGAGGACAGGACGCTCTGCAGAGGGATCTGCACAGGCTGATCCATGGGATGAGGTTCAACAGGGCTCAGTGCCAGGTCCTGCACTTGGGTCACAGCAACCCCCTGCAACTGGGGGGGTTTAGTGTGGAGAAGAGAAGGCTCAGGGGGGACCTGATCGCTCTCTGCAACTGCCTGACAGGAGGATGGAGCCAGGAGGGGGCTGGGCTCTGCTCCCAAGGAACAAGGGATGGCACAAGAGGAAATGGCCTCAAGCTGCCCCAGGGCAGGTTTAGCTGGAGCTGAGGAACAATTCCTTGCCCAGAGGGTGCTCAGGCATTGGAACAGGCTGCCCAGGGCAGGGCTGGAGTCACCGTCCCTGCAAGTGTTCACACCCCGTGGAGCTTCCAGGGGTTAGTGGTGGCCTTGGCAGGGCTGGGAATGGTTGGAATTGATGAGCTTAAAGGGCTTTTCCAACCTGGTTGATTCTGTGGTTCTGCAGCCAGCTCAGATCACTGCAGCCTTGGCTCCAAGCTCTTACAAATGGACGCAGAGGGGGGACCTCTCCAAAAGTCACTTCCCATCTTTTCCCTGTTCTCCCAAAGGTGTCTGAAGCTCTACTCCAGGCCCGTGGCTCCCATCAGGAGCACGGAGTTGCCACATGCTGTGGGCTGACACAGGCACTGTCCCAGCAGATCTCATCCTGTCACAGGCTGTTCTGGTCCACAGCGGGATAGCGCTGAAAGCTGGAGGAATTCTGCTGGAAACCTGCATTTCCCAAGGCGTTGAGAGCGCCGGGGCTCGGGAACAGCTCAGGAACAGCTCCGGCAGCTCGGCTGGTGGAGGGTGAGGGGAACGTTCTGTCCTTCCTGGTTACAGGGAAACGCTTTGCAGAGCTTCAGGGCTCAGAAATCCAGCAGGAAGAGCCCAGAGTTGATCCAAAGCGAAAAGCAAATGTCTTCAGTTGATGTGTAACAGTGGGCACTGGGAAATGTAAACCTAATCCAGGTGAGATCCTGTGTGAAACGAGGGTGGTTCCCAGCGGTTTGGGGGGAGGAAAATGCAGGAAGGGAAGATGCAGTATCAGGAAGTGCTGGGGTTTGCTTTGCAAATGGTGTGATATAAAATCAGAGCAGAACATTCAGGTTTGATTCAGACTGAGGCGAAAGGGGATTAGTGTTGACATTTTCTTCGGGGGAATTTAACGGAAAAGCTTTTTGCCATTCCAGGTGGAAGCAGAAATCCCTTAATCCTTCTCCAGAGGGAACTCACAAGTCTCCCTTTGGCTTCACATGTTGGGGGTGGCTGATGCTGATCCCCTTTCTGACTGCTTATTTTGCCACACTTAAATATGTAAGAGCAGAACTTTCTCAACAGAGAAACAGTGATTTTAATCCCTAAGCACGGATCCACAGTGGAAGTTTATCCCTTAGGATAAAGCATCTCGCTGGGCAGCACATCGGGTCAGGGTGGAATGTGAGAGCTGCTTTGCCCAGAGTCCAGAGGTTCAGCACCCACATGGGTCAGACCAGAGCCAGGCTGAGCTCTAGAGCAGCCCCTGGGTGTTTGTCCCCCATCACGTCCCTCGGTGCTGTTTGACACTGTGTGAATCAGGCTCTGGTGCCCGAGTGGGGCTGGAGAACCCGAGCGGACGGGGCCGGATTCCAGTGCCTGCTCCCTGCCCCGGCCACAAAGGCTGCGGCTGCTGTGGGCTCTCGGGGCGCAGCACCGCGCTGCTCCCGCGGGATGAGGGGCTCTCAGCGCCGGCATTCCCTGCCACAGGGAGCCTTGTTTCCTGGCCGGCCGTGCTGAGGAGGGGATTGTTCAGAGGCCCCACGTCGCTCCCGCAGCCCCTGTTGTGAGCACAGGAGCCTGGATGCAGCAAACCCCTGGATCCCAGAGAGCAGATCCCAGGACACCCCCTCTCCCGCTCCTGTTCCCTCTCGGAGGAGCCGGGGGGTGTTTGGTCAATCCCTGGTTAGGTGCACGCTGCAGCAGCGAGCAGGATGTGCTGCTGCACAGTGATCCATGAAGGTCAGCCTGGCCACGTCCTCATCCCTCACCCTTTTCAGAGCAATGGACTGTGGCACCTTAACTCATTTGTGTCTAGCTTAAGGCCAGGTTGGTGGACGCGGGGTCTTGGAGCAACCTGCTCGAGTAGAAGGTGTCCCTGCCCGGGGCAGGGGTTGGAGCTGGAGGAGCTTTAAGATCCCTCCAACACAAACCGTTCCATGATTCTGAGTGGTTATTTCCTCCTCTCCCTCAGATACAGAGGCTTCAAGAGCTGGTTTGGAGAGAGGTTTCAATCACTGAAGGGCTAATGCTGTTCTCCTAAACAGGATGCAGTGATACCGGCAGTGGGGGTGCCAAGTCTGCAGCTTCAAGGTGCTTGGATTTGGGGTTTGCATCCCGATAAGATCAGTAAGAACCAGAAGAGCATCATCATGATTGAAGGGGAATGGCCTGTGCCGGTCATCCTACAGGAGAGCTTCCTGCAGCTCTGTCTCCAGAGCTCTGTCTGGGTGAGTTTTAAATCCCGTCCATGGTGGGCTCCCTTGACAAAGCCATTCTGGGCTCTAAAATAAGCTCCACCAGCAAAGCTGTTCCTGGCAGTGTGGTGAGCACCGGCGTCCTTGCCTCAGCAACCCAGGAGGGCTGAAACCCTCTCCTTGGGACCCGAGGGCCAGCAAAGGGCTTTGGTGACCTGGTTGTGATCCTTGGATCCGCTCAGCGCTCACATGCTCCACCACGAGCTGCCGCTTTCAGCCGGCTGAAGGGGCAAAGCAGCTTGAGCAGTTCTCAGGACCCATTGTTCAGGCCCCCGGGGTGGAAGGGAGCCGCTCTTCATCCGCCCCTTTGCTGCGATTGTCTCAGCATGATGCAGCCGCGCTTTGGCTGCGCATCGAAATGAGCTTCAGAAACCAGGCACAGCCAGAGCGTAACACCAGGAACAGGAACCAGGTCTGAGACGAGGGTTTCTTGTCTCTCTTGACTTAAAAAGCAGCCCCTTTATGAGGAGGAGAAAGGCAACGTCCCTGCGGGGCCGGGCTGACGCCGCCCGGAGCAGGCAGCAGCCGGCCAGCACTGGGGCGAGCTGCTTTCATCTATTTTCTCTCTCCCTATTTATAGAACATGGGAGAAGCAGCCGGGATCGGGATCCGTGTCCCTGCTCCTGCCACAG